CATCACCATGCAGTGTACCTTGGTCAAGAATGTAAGTAGAACTGCCCTCAAGGAACAATGGTATCTCCAAGCCTCTCCCCTTCTTCCAAGTCCTCCCTCATTTCCGGTCGAAAGATGTTATAGGGTAAACTGACGGGTAGTGGGATACTAGCAGATAAAAGCCGCAGGGCAAAGAACGAGGAAGACGAAGTGTTTGGAGAACAGTGAGGCTGGTGACCGTCCTATAACAGTGACATCAATGGTCTACAGGCAGGCGATGCAGATTATAAAGGAAAAACTGCAGGCTTGAACAGAGGATGAGGGGGTGCTGGGGAAACTGCAGAATGGGTTTTCAAAACACAGGATGTTGGAAGACAATCTGTTCTCACTGACACAGTGCATCGAAATAGCAGAAAAGAAACACAGGCTCCTGTGGCTACCATTTTGGGATGTCAAGGGAGCATACGGTAGCGTGGTTCAAAAGGACCTGTGGGGAATACTGGACACACTAGGTGTGGAAGAAGGATTCATCAATCTTTTAAAGGATAGCTATGAGGGTAACAGGGTAGTTTTAAAATGGGAAAACAGGCATTCAAGCCTATCGTGGTAAAACAAGGGCTTCGGCAGGGGTGTCCTTTGTCACCCTTGTTATTCATGATGTACCAACAAGAATTAGAGGCCAAATTATAGGGAAGTGGACTGGGCTTCAACCTCTCTTTCGTCAAACAAGGAAAACTCATAGAACAGGCACTACCAGCATAGATGTACACAGATGATATCGTGCTAATGGCCAACAACAAGAAAGATTTACAGAGATTGATGGACATCTACGATAATGAGGGAGATAGGTTGGAATTCCGATTCAGTAAGAAAAAAAAACGGCAGTCATGATTTTCAATGATAATGAAGGTAGTGAGCTTAGCATAACAGATAGAGATAACAGATAAATACAAATATCTGGGCGCATAGATGAGCAATAGGACCCAGTACCTAAGGACACACGAAATATATGTGACAACTAAAACTAAAAGAAATGCAGCAGTGATGAAAAATAGGGCACTGTAAAATTACAGTAGCCATGACGTTGTGAGAGGAATATGGAAAGAGTTCATGATTCCTGGTCTGACGTTCGGCAATGCGGTTTTGTGCATGAGATCAGAAGTTCAAGCAAGATTAGAAATTAAGCAACGTGCAATAGGTAGGCTTGCCTTGGGAGCTCACGGGAATGCACCATATCAGGGAGTACAAGGTGATATGAGATGGACATCATTTGAGGGCAGGGAAGCTAGCAGCAAGATAATATTTGAGAAGCGATTGAGAGAAATGGGGGAGGGGTGTTGGGCTAAAAAGGTTTTCAGATGCTTGTAAATAAATAATGTTGATACGAAAGGGAGGAAGCGAACCAGAAAATTGACGGGTAAATACTTAGAAAACAGCAGGGGGCTAAACAGAAAAGAAATATGGGTTAAGAAGGAGGTGAAGGAAGCTGAGACCGATATGTGGAGAATCCGCATGATTAAAAACTACGCACTAGAGATCTATCGAACTTTTAAACAGGAGATTTCCAAGGAAAGTATCTATGATAATATTCGGGGCAGTTCTGTACTGTTTGAGGCAAGGACGGGAGTATTGCGAACCATGACATATCAGGCCAAATACGAAGGGGTAGACACGGTATGCAGTGCGTGTGGAGAGGAGGAGGAAACTGCCGAACACTTTATAATGTTCTGTAAAGGGCTTCACCCTCTAGTTCAGGATGGTGGCACAAAGGTTTGAAGCACTGGGGTTTATGGACAGAAAGGGCAAAATAGACTGCAAGGGGGGAGTATTAACTAAAAGGAGGTTATCTGATTGGTGGGTAAAGTCAAGGCACGAGTGAAATTTAAACCCTTCAAAGTGAAGTACCTGTCCTCAATCTCACTACTTAAAGAAAAAAAGATAAATCTAGTTTTTGGTTCACTAAGTATTACGGCATGGTGGCGTTAGCCACCGCCCGATCTCAAGGGTAAAGCCATATCAACCCATCCGTCCATCCATGTAGCCACCTCTTCTTTAGTTCTTGCAATGTTCAGTAGATGGCGGTACTTGTAGCTAATGATGAAAAAAATGCAAGATGTTATAAACTAGACGGTGGTACTTGTAGTTGATGATGAAATATTCGAGATGTCATAAAGTAGGAATGATGTAACATATGCCGCGTGTAATTGGTGGAAGGCAATCGTTCGATTTAGTGCTGCGACGTACGCTTGAAAGAGCGTTGTAATAAATCGAGTGGGCGAAATGTACGGAGGATTCATTGTTTACCAGGTTTACCTCCGGAGCTTCGCCCACTCATCGTCATTCACTTCGTGGATATGGCGGCACTTTTTTTCACTGGGGAGCGCGCCGATTGGAACGGCCGGAGAAACACCGCCGCCGCGCAGGAACCAGGCGGCCGTGTTCGATTCCAGACGCACAGACGACCAACGCTTACGACCAACGGGGCCGACGCCCGCGGCGGGTTTTATGCGACACGAGCTCTTTAACGCTATCGCGTTAAAATGTCAGACACGAAGGAGCACGTCTTCAGCTGGCGCGTTTGTTTGTTTGTTTGTTTGTTTGTTTGTTTGTTTGTTTGTTTGTTTGTTCGTATCCTCTAATCTATGGCTCGTACCCACTCTGGGGGATCGGCCAAGAGAACATATAGTCTCATATGGACGATAACTGCATTATTGCTTACTAGGAAAAAAAAGGGGGGGAGTTGTATAGTGAAGACAGTATGTTAAAAAAAAGAAGGAAACCAAAGATTTAGATAATGAGAAAAAAATCAACAACAAAGTAGACCCTAATAGCTACAACTTGATTTTGGGAGCCGACCAGACAGCTGGTTTTGCCAAACCCGATTAATTTGGTATGTCACGGATTTATCCAGAATTGAAAATTACTTTTCAACCCGTTTTTTGTGTATCTGTTAACGTGGGCTTTATGTTGAAAAACTTTTCGAGTCTTAAATAAAATTACACACCGCATCGAACGCATCTCTGCGGCAATTTCCCAAAACAGAGGCAGCAAAACTCAGAACATTTTCTGTGGTTAAATATAAACATAGCTTCGCAAATGGAATATCTAAAAGTCGTTTCCTAATTATTGCTTAATTACGACATGAGCCAAAATAATGTTCAATAGTTTCTGATTCTTTGCAGAACGGACAAAGGGGGAAAAGTGTCAGACCAGCTCTGTGTAAATAAAAATTTAATGGGGGGACACGGCACCGGAATGTGGAGGTTATAATTTCAAGTTTTTTTGACGGACTCCACTGGCCTTTCCATGGAAATTTGAGGTGCTGATAATCTTTTCATTGTGTGATATTTTCTAAACTATCTGAAAAATTTCCTATATCTAACCCCTGACAAGTATTCTAACTCGGGAAGTACTGAAATTACTGGTCCATTGAGTGATGCTCGTGCCAAAGCATCTGCCAATTCATTTAATTGTAATCCGCAGTGACCTGGGACCCACACTAATTTGAGGAGTTTTAAATGCGGCGGTGCTAATGTGTGGAACGCTGCTAGGGCACGAGATTGTTCAGAGGTTGTCAGAGCTGCACACACTGAAAGTGAGTCTGTTAGGATGATTGCACTGGTCTCGGTCGTAGGTCGCGGGTCACTTGTCTTCGCTTCGTCTTCTTCGTTCACTGGCAAAGAACTGGTTCAATGTTCACTGGCACAGAGCATCAGGTGGCTATATACAACATGTATCAACAACAACAAAAAGAGGTACAGTAGAAGGGGCAAAGCTTGATACATCAAAACAGTTTGCCAAGAGGGATCTATGATTGTCTAAATAGAAGGGCTATAGGGCCTTAAATGAAAGGACTATGGAAGGAATACTGAGGCAACTATCTTGTATGTTTGCGACGCTTTGGGCTTCTATGATTTCTCTAGTCATTTTTTGTAACGCTTGCGTGCTATTTTCGTGTTATTCAAATTGAGGTGAGCATGCACAATGTCGGCATTGGATACCAATATGTCCTGAAATTCGCATAATTATGCTCTAAAAATTCTTTATTCAGGCATCGGCCTGTTTCGCCGATATAAGTGTGTCCGCAAGACAAGGGAATAGAATTAACGACTCGATTAGTACATGGTACGAAGTCATCGCGACGATTTTTGGTGCAGCCGACATACGTACAACTCATCTGATTCACTCGTTTGCGGACTTGACACATGGTCCAGAGCTGAAAAGGGGCGTTTACCGATTTCTGTTGGCTATCGTTATCAGCTTATGCAAGAGGCCATCTAAATGCGTAGAAAATGAATGCGCACTTCTTATTTGTGTCTCTTACGGAAGTTGTATCTGTCCTTCACATCGTCTCTGCCACAAAAGATGGAAGAGTTAACGGGTACCTATCCTGCAGTAGACGGCACTTCTTGTTCAAAAAGCTATCTTCCCGCTTGTGCTCAAACAATTTCTTCACTGCATTGAAGCACGAATGTATAATGGTGCGCTTAACCAACTTTGAGTGGATTGAAAAGAAGGGATGGAGTGGTTTGTTGGCCCGAGGCTCAAAGGCTCAGCACGCAGGACAGCAGTTAAAATATAGACATCATTAAAACAGTCTAAAAACATTGGATAGCAGTTCATTGGTGACAATCAAGGGGTTTAAAACACTAGACATTGCCACAGACATTGTCACTAATTATTTCATACTGCAGGTGTGATAACAAATGTGATTTCGCTTTTATATTTGCCTTTCCGCGGTGTACTTTCAATAAGATTTGGCGTGTGCGCAACACTAAGAATATACAAATTGAAACTCGGTCGGTGTGACTCCAGGAGTTTTAGTACAGTCAGTCCATTGTTCAGCGGTCCTTTCTTTGTGCTCCTAATTCTTTGCACTTATTCTTTTAGTGTTTAAGTAAGTGCTGCACCTTGTAGCGAGATTGCAAGTGAAACCACTTCCCAAGATGGTCATTTTATATTCTGATTACAAGAATCATCAGTGACTGCTAGCAAAATGAAACAAAAAGTGATGTACTTACTGAGTGCGGTATAAGCGTCTCAACTTTGCGAGTCATGACATCATCCACTTCTAGAAGGTCATGCACACCGAGAGTCACAATGATGTCTGAGACTCTGCGTCTGAAAATAGGTTCTCAATAAAAAACTTGATCTCTCCGTCATAGGAATCAGTCAAAACGCGAAAGTAAAACGTGTCCTTGCTGAAGTGGTTTAATGTTTTGTGCTCATCGATATAAGAGAGCTTGCACAATGTAACTTGGTGCTTGACAGCTATAACAAGATACCAGATTATACGCAAAAGCCTGTTATAATGTTTTGCGTTTCTATCATGCAACTGATATATGAGCACGGTTATATGTCCAGGAGTCTTTTTACAGTGTTATTATTGTGCATATATCTGCCTATTTGTTATGTTGTTGCTTACATTTTTGTAACTGTCTATAAATGCTTATCATCAGAATAGGTGCCTATATTAACCCTATATAATCACCATTTTTCTTTTCAGCCCAATGGGCGTCCAGTACTTCTGTTACCGGGCAAAATTGGGCTTTCGGAACTCTAGGGGCTGCAACCCATCTCGGAAGCTCCTGTCACCACTATTAAGGCCAAAAGACCCCTTAGCCAATAGAAACGCCGATTAGCCCTACACATGTATTTATCTGCATCGCACCATCCGCTCAGTATCTCCCCGGCGTCAGCTCGCACGTGTAGGGACGAGCATGTGCTTCTGTAAAGTCGGTGGACAATAGAGAACGAATGCGAAACCATGCAGTGTCATCAAGGGAAAGTATAAAGTGACGGTAAAGAAATTGATGTCTGCGTGGTTTTCGTTTTCTTTGTCATTTACATCTTAAAGGTAATCTCACAGCCCACATGAACAGTTTTAGAGAATATAACTCGTAGCGTACCCACTAAAAACATTTGTACTACCATATTTTTTTTTTAGTTTTTCATTACAATCCGCGAAAGCAAGGAAGTGAGCTTGGAACCTTTGCCGCTCGCGCCGCGTAGTCTTCGCAAGCCCAATTCCTTCCCTGCAATCAACTGTATTGAAGTAACTCGGAGCCACAAGACCACATCACACAAACCTATGAAAACGTCATCCGGACAAAAGGTTACTTTCGCATGACATACCCAAGCTAGGTCGTGCATGCAAGCGTTGTTTAATTGCTTCGGCATTCTCTCTATTGTACTGCCTGATTCTGTGTTATGCATCGCTCTATGCACGCATGTTTCTGGAGGATGAAATGGATCATATATTATCACCACGATACACAGTGTTACATTGCTGAAAGTGATTCAAGGGCCCATGCACCAAAAACGCGCCAAGCGTTGTCAAAACTGGCAACGGGACGATGCAGGAACGGTTTGAACACCAACACAAATGAAGTGGAGGCAGCTTAGTCTCGCTCATCACTTCGTATGAAATAAAAAAAATGTAAAAATTATCACAGAATACCAACGAAGTGAATGATATCGAGTAGACAAAACTCCGAGAGATTACTAAGCCCTGTACGTAGCCCACGCTATCATGGAAAGACATGATGATACGTGTGTACAGTTTACACAAAGCTCACGAGCATGCTTCCGTCTTTGATCTTGGCGAGCAGAGCAGAGAAGGACGCGTAGACTTGTGTGACCACCTCCTCTCACACTAGCAGGCAACAGAGCGAATTGAATGAGAGCAAGCTCAGGTGTGTCTCTAGCGGTCTCCAATCACTCTAGAGCACGCATTGGAGTAGGTGGGTGGATGGATGGATGGATGGATGGATGGATGGATGGATGGATGGATTTATGGATGGATGGATGGATGGATGGATGGATGGATGGATGGATGGATGGATGGATGGATGGATGGATGGATGGATGGATGGATGGATGGATGGATGGATGGATGGACGGACGGACGGACGGACGGATGGACGGATCCGGCTGTGCCCTTTAGATCGGGTGGCAGCTCACGCCACCTAGCCTTAAAGTTAAGTACTATCACTATGTGTTGAAAGATTGAATTTCACTGGCGACTTGATTACAGCCACCAATCAGTTGGCCTCCTGCTGCTTATTTCTACCCATTTAAAGTTTATATTGCCTTCATTGTCCCAGAACCCGAATGCTTTGAAAAACTCCATGCGATTATCTTGGACTATAAGGTGGAGCCCTTCACAGAACATTATCGAATGTTCAGCCGTTTCCTCCTCCTCTCCGCACGCACTACATAAAGTGTCTGTGCCTTGGTGTATGGCTCGGTACGTCTTTGTCCGAAATAGTCGCATTTTGACCTCGAACAGCAGAGAACTCCTCGAGAAGTACTTTCGTTTGGGTTAGCTAGTTCACAGTACTCACACTTTCTGTACTGTCCTTATTTTCCTCGTGTGTTTGCGCTGCTCTTTCTAGCCCGAGAATTATTGTACGTCTTTTTCTTTGGAATTTTCTGCTTCAAAGTTTGGTAGGTCTCCATTGCTGAATTTGTAAGCATTCTAATCTTCCACACGTCCCCTCTCTGTTTCCTTCACCTCCTTCTTAACTGATATTTTCTTTCGGCTTGGTATTCTTGTGTTGTCTGAATACTTGCTTCATAATTTCCGAATTTGCTTCCTACATTTGGTATATACATTCTTTATGTACAAGTAGCTGAAAACTTTCCTAGCCCAACACTCCTCTCCAATTTTTCTTAATCGCTCCTCAAACTCTAATTTGCTGCTTGATTTCCTGCACACGAACGACGTCCATTTCATGTCACCCTGTACTCCCTTAATGGGTGTTTTCCCGTGTGCTCCCAAAGCAAGTCTACCTCTGCCACGTTGTTTAATTTCTGATCTTGCTTAAACCTCTAATCTCATGCACAAGACCACATTACCGAGCGTCATACGCGGGGCCATGACACCTTTCGATATCCCTCTCATAACGCCATACCTCTTGTAGTTCCACAGTGCCATATTGTTTATTACAGATGCGATCCTGTTACCCTTAGTCATTACGTATCTTCCTATCGTTCGTGCTTCCTTAGGAACTCAGCACCTTATTTATCTATACGCCCAAATATTTGTATTCACTATTTCTAGCACGTCTTCCTGTATCTTATGCTCACTGACTTCGTTATCATCAAATATTATCAAACTCAGAGACGCCCCGTCGCAAGTCAAACTATTAGCTTATAACACTTTAATACGTCCAAAGCTTGAATACGCTTGTATTGTATGGGATCCGCATACTAAGTCTAACATATATTCCCTCGAAAAGATTCAAAGACGAGCAGTGCGTTTTATTTACTCAAAGTATGGTCGTGGTACATCAGTTACGGAGCTAATGCGAGATAACGAAATCCAGACGCTACAATCGCGGCGCCAGCTTCTCCGTCTAAAATTCTTGGACTCACTAATTAACAATAAACTTGGGCTAGACCCATCACATTACGTTACCCCAGTTTCGACCAGGCAAACTCGTCATTCTCATGTCCGATCATTAACTCCGTATTTTGCGCAGACAGATTTATTTAAGTTTTCCTTTTTTCCGAGAACTGTAACAGAATGGAATAACTTGCCTTCTGATTTCCTCCAAACCTTCGATCTTGATGAACCCAATGTTTAATTCTGTGAATCTTGACCCCCCCCCCCCCTCCCAATATTGCTTGAATTTTTTTTTGATGTTTCTCTTTTACTCGCTATTCTCCTACACAGATGTATTTTAGTCAAGCTGTGTTACTCATGTACTGATCGCGTGCTTTCTTTGTTTTGATGTTTTTCTTCTACTCGCTCTCCTCTTACACAGATGTATTTTAGTGAAGCTGTGTCGCTCATGTACTGATATTGTGTTTGTGTTTGTGCCCCTCCTGCTTGGGCCTTTTTGGCCTGCAGTATTTCACAAAATAAATAATTATGATTGCCAATTTTTCCCTACTGAACTTCAAATCTAACCTATCCGCTTCGTTACTGAAAATGTCTATCAATCTCTGCAGATCTTCCTTGTCGTCGGCTGCTAATGCTATATCATTTGCATACATCAACGCTGGCAGTGTCTGTTCAACGAGTTTTCCTTGCCTGGCAAAAGAGAGGCTGAAGCCGAGTCAACTCCCCTGTATTTTGGCTTCTAGTTCCTGTAGATACAGCATAAATAACAAAGGTGACAAGGGACATCCATGTCAAAGCCCACGTTTTATTTCTATAGGGTCGGATACCTGTTTCTCCCATTTTGCAACTACCTTGTTACTTTTATATATATCCCTTAGAAGATTACTTATTTTATTTTCCACATCTAGTGCATCCGGTATTCCCCACACGTCTTCTTGAATCACACTATCATAAGCGCCCTTGACATCTAGGCATGTCAGCCACCAGGGCCTGTGTTCTTTTTCCGCTACTTCAACACACTGCATCAATGTAGATTGTTCTCCTACCTCCTTCATTCACTGAACCCATTTTGTAGTTCTCCCAGCACCCCCTCACTCTCTACCCATGTCTGTACAATTTACTTTAGGCGTCACCAGCCAGTAAACTACTGATTTCACTGTTATAGGATGGAAGTTGCTTATATCAGCTTTTCCCACTTTTCTTCATAGAACATGGTCATCCTGCTTGGTTTCTACCCTTTGGGGGCTTTACCATTCATTGTTGCTGTGGTTTCATGCGAAGCCTGTGTGACGTCACGCTGATAGCTCCGGTGCTTCATGGCTGTATAAGCGCTGTGAACCGGGCACTCATTGTTCTTTTGTACTCTGTATTCATGTAGTAATAAACCGTCTTTCTGTTCTTCGTTCACAGCCACTCTGGTTCTGCTCATCCCTCGAGGCAAAAACAGACTGGCGACGAGGGTGGGACACGAATTCCACTGGGCTACAAGACACCAATAGCGGCGTTTCCGAAGCGCTGCGAAAATACAGGCAAGATAGCGACGTTGGGCCTCAGTTCACGGCAAAGAGTTTTACAGAGTTCCTGCTTAAGAACGGAGTGCGGCTCACCAGAACACCTCCGTACCACCCTGCGTCCAATGGTAGCGCCGAGAGATGCGTCCAGACGGTGAAACAGGATATTACGCGACAGCTTCTCGACGAAAGGTCATCGAGCCAGAGTAAGATCCTACAGCACCGCATAGATCTCTTTTTGTTCAGCTACCGGAACACAA